CCGCAGCCGCGCGCCCCACCTGCTCCAGCCGCCCCCGGGGCCGCCGCCGGCCCATGAGCCCTGACCTCAAAGTTTGCGGCGGGCGGGCGGGCGCGGAGCCTCCAAGATGCCGTTCCACCCGGTGACGGCGGCGTTGATGTACCGGGGCATCTACACTGTGCCCAACCTGCTGTCGGAGCAGCGCCCCGTGGACATCCCTGAAGACGAGCTGGAGGGTGAGTGCCCCACCGGGACCCCAGCCTGCCGGCCCTCCTACCTGTGCGCCCAGGTGAAGCGCGAGCTAGGGGCGCAGGCGGCGGGGTGCTGTCCGCAGGTGCCGGCTGCCAGGTGGGTGCTCCAGCGAGCAGCTGCGCGGGGAGGCAGGACCTGCTCGTACCCCTGGGCGCCGCGGTAGGGGTCGCCAAGGCAGAGGGGCGGCCCAGCCCCTGCCCGCGTGGTCCCTCGCGCTGCGGAAACTTGCCGGGCCCCGCAGCAGGGTCACGGGGCCGCGCAGTCCGCGGTGACGGTGCGGCAACGCGGCGGGTTGGGGTGGGGGTCCGAGCTGGGCCCCCCGCGCCGGCCGGGCCGGAGCACCCGCATCCTGATCCCCTCCGCGGCGCCTGCCCGCGGCTCTGCGCTCGCATTGACATTCCGCTCGTGTCGCTTTTAAAATCCAATCTGCTCCGAGAGCCGGAGAAGGGGAGAGGGCGACGGCCCTGCTCTTGCCGGCTGCCGGGCTGCCCCTAGCCCCTCCTGCGGCCGTAGCACCTTACCCACAGCCCTGCGGGGACCCCCAGCCCGGAGCGCTGGGAAGGCGGCCCGGGAGGTGGTGGCGACAACAAGTGGCCAGATTGGGCGGCTTGATCACGATAACCAAGCCTGGAAGGGAAAGACAGAGAGGCTGGGACCCAAATCTGTGCCCCCCGGAGTCCCTCCGCCTCTCGGCTTGAATGGGGACCTTAGGCAGTGGGCTAGGCGAGGTGAGAGCGGAGGGCAGGGGCTGGGGTCCCTGGAGGGAGGAATCTGGGGAGCAGTGAGAACCCTGGGGCCTGCGAGCAATTTCCCTACTGGGCTGGGGGCAGGTGCTCAGGTCTCCCCTCCCCCCAAACCTCCTGTGGCCCCATATGGAGTAGAGTGGGGGGCTCTGGGCTGGTGGGAGTCTTGGCACCTTGGGATCTGCTTGTCTGCTGTTGAGGGAGGGGCAGAGATGGCCCAGAGGCTGGGCCTCTCTTCCAGTATCTTGGGTCCAGGGGTCTCTGAGATCTGGGGCTCATCACCGCCTGGGGGGTGGGGTGGGGCGGGTGCAGCTGAGACACCAGCGCAGTCAGGGATGATGGTGTGAGCACAAGGGAAGACAAGGAGAAAGGTCTTCCCTCATCCCCAAGCCCTGGAGGTGGCAGATCTTGGAGGAGTCCAGCTGGGTCAGGGGGATGATCAAGAGGGAGAAGGCAGCTCCCCCCCCACCCCCACTGCACCATAGACTGTGAGCCACTGCTCCTCACCAAGTCCCGCTGAGAGGCCCCAGAGGCTGGGAGAGCCGTGGAGACGGGGTCTGGTGTCTGATGCGGGCAGGACAGATGGATCCGTGCCTTCGCTGGGTCTCTGGCCTTCAACCCCAAATCCCAAGTCCCTGCCCTGTCTGGGCCGAAGCCCAGGAACCACAGCCTTGTCCAAGGCCTGGGGAAAGGAGTGGGTACCATGAGGGGAGAGAGGGCAGGGGATGGGGCATAGGTCGTCTCTTCCCCACCGTTGTCTCCTCCTGCTCTGAGTCACCCCAGACCTCCTGCCCGTGTTCCCCTCCATGGGCCCTCGTCCATCCCTTCCTCCTGGCCACTTGGGTAGGGGTCAACAGTGTCCCCCCACACCCCAGGCAGCTTCCACCTCATTCCTTCCCCTTGCTCCCAGCACCCCACCATGACTGCAGCAGCCCTGCTATGGGCCTCACTTGGTCCCTCCTTTCTCCATCTCCTAGCCCTGGAGTGCAGACCCCAAGGAGGAGAAGAAGCTGAGAGGAGGCTGGGATGCAGGGGTGAGCGGGGCACAGGGCGGGCAGTGCAGGGGCAAGGAGGCCGCAGGCTTCCCTTGGGCCGCCTGGCAGACAAGCTGGCAAGAGCCCAGCAGCGTTAGTCACCAGCCACACCAAACGCACTCCATGCTTTTTTCCGTCCCCTTCTCATGGGCCCTGAGGAGCAGAGGGGCCTGGCACAGGGGGCATCTGAAGGGCAGGGCCCTTCCTGGGGCGGGCAGGAGGGGATCATGGAGCAAGCAGATGCCTGGCTGGCCCAGCCCATCTCTCGGCCCACAGGCAGCTACAGATGAGGGCAAGAAGTCCTCCATGACTGAGTCTCTTCTTGGCTGTAGGCAGCCCAAAAGCCCTCCTCCTAGGAAACCGAGTCTCTGCAGGCGCTGGTGGTCCTTGAGTGCCAGGGCTGGGTGGATAGGGTGACCATCCCTGGCACAGATTCCCCCTCCTCCCCTTCCACCTCCCCAGTGCCCCATTAGCACTCCTGCCCCAGGGCAGTCTGGGTAAGACCCAGGTCTTTTGCTAGGAGGACGCCCACTGGTGGGGGCCGCATGTGCAGAGAAGAGGGAGCCCGGCAGCTTGGGATGAAATGCTGTAGACAGTACATGCCTGCCGCAGAAATCCAGGGGGTGGTTAGTCCAAGGGGGAGGAGGACCAGGAAGGGAGATGGAGAGCATGGGGCAGCGGTGGGTTTGAGTCTCTGCACCCTCAACTTGTGGAGTGACCTTGGGCAATCACTTGCCTTGGTTTCTCCATCTGTCAGAGGGGGTTGGCATTGCCCCTCCCCAAGGCTGCTGGTGACAAAGGATGTGATGGAAGTGCTCAGCACAGGGCCTGGCATGCAGTGGGGGTTCGGGGACCTGGACACAGCAGCAGGGGAGGCCAGACATGGGGGCCCTGCAGGGGTAAGAGCCTGCCGTGTGGAGGAATCGGTGAAGGTCCACGAGGCAGGGACGCAGGGTGCGCAGGAGACTGGGCTAGAAAGGCAGGCTGGGGGATGGGCTGGGTGGACGGGGCCTTGAAGGTCTGGCAGAGGCACCTGGGGACCTGGGCCTGGGGAGCCATGGATGGCAGTTGGTAGGGTAGATGTGGCTGGGCAGAGCTGGCCTGGGCCCACCTGCCCACCGTGAGGCGGAGGTGCGGGCTCTCCCAGATTCTCCCTGTACCCACTCCCTGACTACACACACAGCAGAGACCCCCAGGGCCTGCAGGAACACTGAGGCTGGCCCCAGTGGCATCAGCGGACTTGAGCACCTGAGGGTGGGAATGGGGGCAGCCATAAGCCCTGGCCCAGCTCTGGCCAGAGAGAGGAGGAAGGAGACAGACAGACAAGCAGACAGCCACCAGAGCAGGGTTCTGGGGTTGGCACTTGGCCTGCTCAGTTGGACAGTGGAGCCTGCATTGAGAGTGGCCAAATGGGGGCATCCAGAGTGTGGGGGGCAGAGGAGTCCCCTTTCTTGTCCCTCTTCCTTGCAAGCCACCTCTGTGCAGGCCAGAAACTCAGGAAGGCCACAGTGGCGGGGTGTGGGGCCAGTGCTGCTGAGAGCAGCAGTCTCTGCAAAGGACAGACACTGCCCCCTCGCTGAGTGACCTCCAGCCCGGCCACCCCTCTCTGGATTCCGGCTCCTTGACAGAGTGCTGGCATCCCTTGGGGCCTGTTGGGGACTCAGGCCCCTCACCGCATGCCAGTGAGGGGTTTGTGGGTGTCAGGCTGGAGGTGGCAGGTGGGGGACCGTGTCAGTCTGGAAACCTGGAGGCCCTGCCAGCTCTTTGCCGGGCAAGGTGTCCCCTTGCCAACATGGAGCATGGCAGGCTTCTCCCAGCCTCATGGGGCAGGAACAGAGTGAGGCTTTCGAGAAAACACGCCCTGTTGGGATGTGTGGATGGCAGTGGCAGGGAAATCATGACACCCACCCAACTCAGGGAGCCCACAGGAGAGTCCAGGCCTCAGCCATGGGACAAGAGTCATGTTCCCATTTCACAGATGAGGCACTTGAGGCTCAGAGAGGAAGTGCCTTGCCCAGGTCACTGAGCAGCAGAGCCAGACTCCAAGCCCAGGCCCCCAGGTCCCGGCACCAGCCAACAGGAAGGCCGGCCTGGGGCTCCGAGCTCGCCTAGTCCTCCCTCTCCTTCCGGCTCTGCTGTCTGGGACGTTCTGATTTACAGTGTGCTGTTCTGAGCTAGCCTGGCCTGGCCGAGCACTTATACACTTGAGTGTCTTATTCCATCATCCCCGCAGCCCCATTGTACAGGTGAGCAGACACCAGCTCAATGTCACCCAGCCAGGATGTAGAGAGCTGGGGTTTGAACCTGAGTCTGTGTGACTTACAGCTGACTCTCTGGGGAGAAGGTGGTCCCCGAACTTGGCCTTGGGAGTCAGCTGGGCCTGGGGCAGGGCTCCCGGCATGAGCGAAGGCAGAGCAAGACTGAGGTGTGAGCTGTGTGTGCTGGGAGGGGTGGCCAAAGGAACACATGGACGTGGAGGTGGCAGTCTCTGGATTTATCTAGTGCTCTTGGGAGGTTAGTCTGGCCTGAGAAATGGCTATGGGGTCCATGGGCTGCCTCCAGGCCTGTCACCTGCCCACATACCCCACAATTCACCTGCCCTCCACTGACTCCTGCCTAGCATAGTGCGTTTCCTCAGGGCTTCCTGAAGGGGGTCAGGGGCTCCACCTGAAGCAGCCCTGGGCTCTGGGAGCCACACCTGGCCCCTGCCAGGTGGGAGGGACAGCCTGGACCCCAGCTCATTGCAGGGGATGGGGCCAGCACTCACTGCGGCCCCACTGTGGGTCCAGGGTTTTGCCCTCCCACCTTGAGATCTCCCAAATGGGCCTCTACAGAAGAGGAAACTGAGGGCCCAGATAGCTGGGGTGCCTGACCCTGGGGTCCCCCTTCCCCAAACCAGCCCTTGACCTGGGGATCTAAGGATGGTTCTCCCACCCCTGCCCTCAGCTTGATCCCCCTCTTTGGTGGTGGCCCATAGGAGGGTGGGGGTGGGGTCCCTGGGGGCTGAACAGGGGAACGGGCAGCATCCTCAGCCCCCCTCATGCTTCTTGCCTGGTTGGGGATGGAAAACAAATGTTTTGCCTTTACTAGGATTGTTTATAAACTAAGAGTAAATGGGCTCAGAGCGATGGCCTCCCCCCAAGTGGTGCCTGACCTTCTGCTCAGCTCCTTTCTCTGTGTGCTCCAGATGGGGGGTTCCCCAAATCAGTCATTCATTCATTTAACCATTTATTCAGCAAATGTTTATGTTTGAATGACAGGCACTGTTCCAGGTAACAGGACGCAGCCGTGAGCAACACCGACCTGGTCCCTGCTCTCATGGTACCCGTAGTTCACACTCCGGTGTGGTCAGTGCAAGGATGGAGGAAGAGCGGGGTCTGGGGGAGCCCAGTGGAGGGCCAGAGTCAGCCCAGGGGCGGAGAGGGCACCAGGGAGGTGATGCCGTCCGTGCTGGGAACTGAGGATGCATCCGAGCTCACCGTGGTCAAGGGAAGAGCATTCCGGGTGAAGGAGCCACATGTTCAAAGGCCCGGAGGTGGAGCAACCTGGTGCTCACCAGCACGAAAGGGCCCCTAGGGCTGGAGTTCAGAACACCTGAGGTGGGCAGAGCCTCTGGCTGGGTCGGGAGGCAACAGCGCCAGCCAGAAACCCGAGAGTGTGTGTGTGTGGAAGGCGGGGCACAGGGTGTGCCTGGTTGCACGTCAGTGCCTTCATCTCTACCCAGAGACTCCCAGGCACTGGAATCCCCTCAGCAGCCTCCATAACTGCCAGGCCTCTGCTCACACACCTCTGGGGATGGGGAGCTCACTGCCTCCTCAGTGACCCAGGAAATCTCTAGGTGGAGTTCCCAGAGTCCAGGGTTTACAGATTTCCCATCCCAGCTGCTCTTCTGTCCGAGGGGCCGCTGGCTAGGAGACCAAATTCTCAGGCCCTGGCTGGGATAGGTAGGGGGAGGCCTAGAGTCAGAGGGTCTGGGCGCCCAGGCAACGCAGCTGCGGCCCACTGTCTCTGTCTTGACCTGCATGCCAGCCGGTCTAACTTCCAGGCCTTGGGTGCAGACACCAGGTGGCAAGAGCCTGATGAAGTTTGGGGGCCTCAGCCCAGCGGGATCAGGGAATGACCCCACAGCGCAGGATCCCACAGTCAGTCTCAGGGGTTCACAGACCCCTCAGGCCAGGCCCAGGGCCAGCCTAACTCCTGTCCCTACCAGAAACAGCCCTGACCCCACATTGACCTTGGGCTGGCTACCTTGCCTCTCCACGCCTCAGTTTCCAGATCTGCAGTGTGGAGCATCTCATCTGTCTCTGCTTCTAAACACACACACACACACGCACACACACACACACACTCCCCTCAGCCTGCCAAAGACCCACCCAGGGGAACAGCTTAGGCAAAGGCCAGGAGGCTGGTGGGTGAACTGAACAAGGGGATCCCAGGGAGCTGGAGCAGAGAGGGTGTGAGTGGACGGAAATTCCCTCCCCCCTCAAAGGAAAATGCTCTTGAGGGTTCTTCTTGGGCCAAGTAACAAGTAACGGAGAGCAGGCAGAGAAACAGAAGTAGAGCAAAGGTGAGCAGGGAGAGGTTAGGACCCCTCGACAGTTCCTGGACTCCTTGGTGAAACCTCTGCCGTCTCCACATCATTACTGCCCATTTTACTATGGCTAAGACTGAGGCTGGCGCAAGGTGACTTGTTGTTCGTTCCCTGGCTCCCACCCAGTGCTTTGCTCCCCACCCCCGGGTCACCCGGGTCTTCAGGCCTCAGTCTCCTCCTCTGTACAAGGGGGGACAACCCCCACATCTCAGGCAGCCTGGGCTTTCTAGGGCCCCTCCATCCAGCCTCTGTCTTCCCCCAAACCTTGGGCTCCCGGAGGCAGTCTGTGCCTAGCTCTCAGCCCATCAGCCTGGAGTCACGACTGCCTCATGTGGCTGCCATTAATGAGTGCTGGCCAGTTAATGAGCTGAGCTGAGCTGAGCCCAGGGGAGGAAGTGTGAGATGGGGATGAGGGGGCGAGGGGATGGAAGGAGTGAAAAGTGGGCAGGGAAGCCTTTGGCAGCTCACGGAGGCTACCAGCTGCCTGGCCCTGGCATCCTCCCCTGCACAGTGGGACCCATGGTACCCACCACACGAGGTCGTTATGAGCTCGAGCACGCTGGGAGAGGCTGTGGGAGCCTGGCACGCTGAGGCCGAGACCCCGGGGACGGTCTGCCACTGCTGCAGGCCTGGGCACACCTTTGCTGCCCTGCTCGGCTGGCCCTGCAGGCTGCGCTCTGTGGTGGCATCTTGGGCCACCCGCCAGCTGTCTTCTCCACGCTGCGCTCAGACTGCGGGTTCCAGGATCCTGGGGGTCTGGGAAATGGGGTGTCGGGGAAAGGAGTGAGTCCTAACTTGCTCTGCTTCCCCCACAGAGATCCGTGAGGCCTTCAAAGTCTTTGACCGTGACGGCAATGGCTTCATCTCCAAGCAGGAGCTAGGCACTGCCATGCGCTCCCTGGGCTACATGCCCAACGAGGTGGAGCTGGAGGTTATCATCCAGCGGCTGGACATGGATGGTGAGCACCACTCCTGCCTCAGTGTCCTCACCCCTCACCTGGGGGACCAGGGCTGGGGCCTGAGCCACTGAGGCTGAGCTCACCCTGGGCATCTCCCTCCCCCCACTTCCACCCACCTCCGAGCCCATGACAGTTTGCAGCAGGATCTGGCCCCATTTCTCAGCCAGGAGAATCGAGGCCAGAGAGAATGTGACAGCTCCAGCCACATCCAAGGGTCGGAGGGTCTGCCCCGTCACCCTGTGTTCCAAGAAAATTTTCAAGTACAGAAAAGTAGAAAGGATATACTAAATAACCCAGTTTCCACCACCCAAAATAAAACCATTAATTTTGTTGTATTGGCCCCATGGCATTTTATTAAGGAAAAACTTGTAAGAGCTAGTGATGCCCAGTGCCCTCCTCTTGTGCCCCCTTGGCCTCCTCTCCACCCATAGAGCAGGTGGTGGCCTGGGTGGGCTGCCTCCCATCCCGAGCCTCGTATGCTCTCCGTGTGGTGGGGAGGACGTCGGCCCCCAGGTCCCCACCACTGCCAGGAAGCCATGACAGGCTCTGAGTGAAATGTGAGGGTCTCCATGTGTGCCCCCTCAGGGCCCACCCACTACACTCCACCTCCACCTCGTCAGATGGGGCCTCGTCACACTTGGTGGCTTCAGCGTCAGCCTAGAGCTTGGCACGTGTTAGGTGGCCCTGAAATTGACTCGAGGCTCTGAGAATCTGAGGGGACCTGCCGAGGCCCTACAGTGGCCCAAGGTGCCCGGTTGCAGCCCCACTTGCTGATTGGAACTGGGCCCACTCTAGGTGATGGCCAAGTGGACTTCGAGGAGTTTGTGACCCTCCTGGGACCCAAGCTTTCCACCTCGGGGATCCCAGAGAAGTTCCACGGCACTGACTTTGACACTGTCTTCTGGAAGGTATGCCCTGGCTGGTTGGAACTCAGGGCTGTGCACACCGTGAAGGGCTGCACTGGGGTCAGTGAATGGCTGGGCCCACACTTTAAAGGGGAGATGACCACTCCAGGCTTCTGTCCACTGGATGTCTTGTCTCCCAGAGGGGCATGGGCTCCCTGGGGGAGGCTGGTGTTGGTCAAGGACTCAGGGAATGGAGGATCTGGAGGCCGGTCGCTGGGCTTATGTGGCTGCCTGTGCTGGGTGGGGACTGTGGTGGTGGTGGTGGTGGCCAGAGCACCGTGTCTCCCCCCACCCAAGTGTGACATGCAGAAGCTGACCGTGGACGAGCTGAAGCGGCTGCTCTACGACACCTTCTGCGAGCACCTGTCCATGAAGGACATTGAGAACATCATCATGACGGAGGAGGAGAGCCACCTGGGCACGGCAGAGGAGTGCCCCGTGGACGTGGAGAGTGAGTGATGACCCTGGGAACCACGGGCGGGCCAGCTGCTTGAGCAGGGGAGGAACCCGGGGTTTGCAGAGGGGGCTGGGGGCCTCCTTGCCTGCCCCAAGCCTCGTGCCCCTTTGTGCCCCATGGGACGAGCCATGTGCGCAAGTGCAGGCGGCTCCTGATTCCATCGCTTTGCTGTCCCCTTGTGTCTCTTCGGCACTCCCTGGTGGTGGCTGCAGCCTGCTCCAACCAGCAGATCCGCCAGACGTGCGTGCGCAAGAGTCTCATCTGCGCCTTCGCCATCGCCTTCATCATCAGCGTCATGCTCATCGCAGCCAACCAGGTGCTGCGCAGCGGCATGAAATAGGCACCTGCTGTCCGCGCGTGGTGCACGGGGCTGCTCCACACCCCCCGCCGCCTGCAGTTCTCTCCTTCAGCCAGGCCCCCTGGCCACCACCACGGGTACTTCAGGGCCTAGATGTCTGGTGACCCCACCCCACCCGCCCCACAGGCCTTGCATGGAGCTGTGGCCAGGCTGTGGAGGGCCTGGTGGTGGCTCTGAGGACGGCCCCAGCCCACCTGCAGCCTGCCCGTGCGCCACCCTGGCCTGTATGTAGCACTAGCTCTTCCCGCTGTCCAGGGGCTCCTGGGGAGTCAAGGAGGAACCGGTACAGGGCCAAGCACTGCTGCGGTCCCTGAGACAGGAGGGGGCAGGGCCCTGTGCCCAGGCCACACAGTCGACTCGACCCTGGTCCCTGAGGTTTGCCCAGGGCCATGGGCTGGGGGGGGGGGGGGGGCAGGCGATGTGAGGCTGGGGTCTCCTGGGCCCTACTCCCTGGCATGGCCTGAGGAGGCGTTTTGCTGAGTCCCTTCCTCTGACCCTCCTTCAAACCCAGCCTTCCTCCACGCACCCACTGGGGCCAGAGAATCAGCCCATTTCACAGGAGAGGAGCCTGAGGCTCAGAGGGCCCCCAGATTTGGCCTCAGTTCCCCCATCAACAGGGATTTTCAGCAAGGGCAGAAGCTCATGGAGGATGGGGCATCTGAGGTGGCTCTGTAGCCACCTCACCCTCTGGGGCCCCCCACCAGAGGCCTAGTGACCTGAGGGCCACATTGCCCGCCGCCACCCCAGCACAGAATCTAGAACTGGAGTGCAGTTGAGGAAGGAGGCAGAGCTGGGACCTGGAGGCTCCAAATCACCTGAGCAGCCTGTGTGATCTCCTGGCCGGCAAGGGGGCTCCTCCAGGGCAGAAGCCTTGGGAGGGCCCCTGGGCCAAGGGGCTGGCGCAGCCCAGCGCTGTCAGTGCCAGGAAGCTCAGCCAGGCCACTGTCTGCAGCCCAGGGCCTGTCCTCCTGGGTCGCCCACTTCTCTACACCATCCAGATCGGAGACCCAGCTTGCGTCCCTGCCCCAGTTGTACCGTCTCACACGCGGGCACCGGCTCAGCATGGGCAGACGTGGGGCTGGGGTGGCAGACCGCGTCCTCAAGCTCCCCTCCACAGATATGGAGCTACATCTCACCTGGGTGACGGTCACAGCCTCACTAGCCACCTGCTGCCCGGCTGTGCTGGGCCTCTGCCGGCCCCCAAGGGAGAAGGGCAGCAAGCACGGGTCACCCTGCAGAGGACCTCAACTTGCTCCAGCCTTGCCCATCTCCGACCAGGGGCCAGAGCACGGGGCTGAGGGCCCCGGGCAAGAGGGAAGTGCAGCCACACCACTGTGCTGACAGACTTTCTTTATAAACATCCAGAAGGAAGTTTTCTCACCCATCTTCTCAAGATGTCCCATGAGGGAGGGAGGGGGAGCTGCCTGGCACAGAGCCAGGACCAGGGCTGCACCTGCTGGGGGACTCCTGGGCCCCAGCAAGGCCAGACCAGGTGGATAGTTTTAGAGGCTCCATGGGGTGCAGCAGGAAGGGGGCTCGGCCTCCCCAGTAGGGGCCCTTATCTTTATTGTGATTGACTCGAGAGCTGACCAGATGTAGACAAGGGGCTCAACCCCACTGGACGCTGGGCTGCAGGGGCCATCCCCCGGGTGGGGGTGCCCGCAGGGATGGAGGCAGCTCCTGGACTGGTGGCCAGCCCACAGGGTACTGGAAGATGGTGGCTCTGATGGGTTCAGCCCTAGAAAGAAGGGAAAGGTAGAGAGTGAGAGTGGGGCACGGCCCAGGCCCATGCTGCAGCACCACCCCCGGCTTACCCTCCCCACCACCCCGGCTGTGGGGAGGGTCAGCTGCCTGCAAGACCTTTCTGGAAGGCAGAGCCTCAAAAACATGCAGACCCTTTGAGCCAGCAACCTCACCTCTAGGAACCGAGTCCAAGGAAATAGCAGGATTGTGGGCAGAGATTGAGCTATGAGAAATGGCAATAACCTAAGAGTCCACCTGTGGGGGATCAAATAAATATATATGCACGTCCACAGCAGAGAATGCTATGCAGCCTGTGTAAAAATTAAGGCAGACTTATATGTACTGATGAGGAAAAGTGTCATGATGTACTGTGTAAGGAGAAAAAGCAGCTTATAAAATAATGTATATAGCATGATACTATTTTTGTTTAAAGATATATAACATATATAAATGCATAAAAAAAACCTGGAAGACAGCAAAATGTTAACAGTGGTTCTATCTGAGTGCAATTATGGGTGATTTTTTTACTTCTTTCTACTTTTCAAGAAAAGTTTTACAAGCACGCAAGCCTTTGAAATCAGAAAAAAATATTGTCAAAACATTTTTTTTAAAAGCCTCATTTCTCATGCTACTCACTGTCCTTCCCCTTAAGGTCCACGGCCTCTGGAGCCACCTCCTGGGAGCTCAGGGCCTGTAGGGAGCACCCACCCTGAGTGCCTAGCCTGGGGCTGCCCTGTCCTAAGGGAGCCGACTGAGGCCCGGGGAGGCACAGAGGCAGCCTTTCCCCACCAACTGCTCCACATCCCAATCCTTCTAGACTTGACCCCCACTCAGGCTGCCGCTCCAGGGCTGCACTGCCTCCTCAGGCTACAGAGCATTTTGAACTCGCCTGGAAGCTCGTGTCTCCCCTCTGGGAGAGACCAGGGGGTAGAGGTGGGATCCATCTGTCCCCCCGGGGCTGGGCCTGGCGCAGGGAGGCCACCCTGTGAATGTCTGCTGAAGACAAACAGCAATGCTGAGCGCTCTTACTGACCAGGCACTACTCTGGGCCGGACACCATGGCCTAGAGAAACCTCAAGAATCCTTGTGCAAAGCCCATTTTACAGATGAGGCAACCGAGGTGCCCGGAGTCAGTCACGTGCCAGGTGACACAGTCTGGGGATGGGTGATGGGGGACTGGAATGCACCCTGTACTCCAGACATTGGCCCCCCCGCTTCAGCCCCAGGAGCACCCCACCCCACTCCACCCCCAGGCTCAGCTCTCAGTGAAGGTGACACCCTGTCAGCTCCTGGAGGGCTCAGGGCCCCAGTGGCCAGCCCTCTGCAGAAAGGGAAAGTCCTGGGCCTTCTGTGAGAGGTTTGGAGAGGCCTCAGGCCTCCAAGGTAGAGGCTGGGGGCTGCAGTCAGGAGCCCGGGGACCCACCCAGCCTGCGCCTCTCGGGGCCTGACCCGCTGTACAGAGCCGACCTGAAGACCAGGCAGGCTGAGGCACAACCTCAGGGGCCTCGTGCTGTGTGAGGCCAGGGAAATCCCCTGCTCAGCTGCTGGCTGCCTCCTGGAAAGCACAGAAAGTGGCTCTCAGCATGATTTATGACCCTGGGGAGATTTCATAAACTCTGCCAGCCACAGAGAAAGGTGGGAGTGGGGGTGCTCCACAGTTGCTGGAAGGGAGAGCCCCAGCTGCCAGCCAAGCCTGAGCTCCCTACAGGGCCAGGGTGAATGCAAGTCTCCCCCACAGAGGGTGTGCTCCTGGGGAGCCCCTTCCCATGAGCCTCAAACCCTTCCTCTAGAAGATGGGGCAGATTCCTGGGCATCTGGGGCCCAGTGGCCCTGCATGCCCTGAGGCCTCCCACCAGGAGGAGGGCATCCCCACGTGTGCTCTCAGACACTGGCACATTCCCTGGGCCCCAGAGCCCTCAGAGCATACCCCTCGAGCTTCGCACAGAGCAGACGGGACACTGAGGGGCACGTGTGGCAGGGCTCTGCTCATGGCTCCTCTCATGGCCTGTTTGCCCCGGGAACAAGGACAGGAGCAGCTCTCGTTTCTCCCCGGCCATGGTCCTGATCAGAAGGAAAGCCTTAGGGAGGCACCTGGGCTGGACAGGGGCACTGGCTCAGCGAGGGGTGCAAAGGGGGAGATTAAGAGGGATAAAGTCACAATCTGAAGAGCCAACAATGGAGAGCAGGGACAAGCACTGTCCTCGCCAGGGGATTAGTCTGCGTGTCTGAGGTCGGCCTCTCCCTCCCCGCTGGCTGCTCTTGGCAGATGCCTCAGGGTCAGTCTGCTGAGGGGGATGGCACGATGTGCCAGGCTGGGGCCCCACAGAGCCTCCATTTCCTCTTTTACAGGATGGCTGGCCGGCTCACTTTGAGGGCTCTGTGGGGCCTATGGGGTCAGAGCCCTCAGGTGTGGGTAGCCCCAGGTGGACCAGGCAACCATGTGCGCTCTGCGTCCTGGGGGAAGGGAGAGGAGCCACCAGACTGGTCCCCACAGTGGGCCCATGACACTACCACCTAGAGAATAGTCCTCCAGGCTTGGGACCCTGCTCCCCCAAACGCTCTCTCATGCAGTCAACATGTGGGCCAGCGCCAGGCCCAAATGACAACAATATGAGCTCAAGGCCGTGAGGGGGAGGCTGGCGGGGTGGGGGGGGCGGCGGATGCTGGAAGGGGAGATGTCTTAGTTAAAGCTTGAAGGATGAGTCTGACTTTGCCAGGCAAAGAGGTGGGGAGGCAGTTCCAGGCGGAGGAAAGAGCATTCCCAAGGTGCCCCCAAATCAGAAACGCCCACCACATCCAAGAAGCCGCCAAGCATCCAGCAGGACTGACACAGAAGCCAGATGCGAGAGGTGAGAAGGTGACCCCCAGGGGCTGTGGAGGCGGCAGGGAAGTTCCCCTGGCCCTGTGAGCTGGGCTGCAGAGTCTGGGCTCCCCCGAGGTGGAGGAAGCCTAAGAGGGTTTAAGTAGAGGCCCGGCGGGGAGTGTTTTACAAGCTGGTTGGGGCTGTTGTGTGGAGGACGATGAACTGGAGGAGCAGAGGGGAGGTGGGAGACCAGAAAGGGCTGCCGTGGCCATCTAAGAGAGCGGGGAGGTTGAAGGGCACAGAGGGCACTGTTTCTGCAAGGCTGCCTCGGGGGTGGGAGACTCAGGGAACAGAGCGAGGCAGCCCGGGGTTCGAATCCACCTCCCCTCACTCTGCAGGGTGGGGGCCCCGGATGCAGGGGCGGAGCCCACAGCGCACAGACCGCAGGATACAGGCGTCATTTTTCAGGAGCCCAGCCTGCAGGGAGCGGGCTGAGGAAGACCTAGGCAGCCACGGCAAAAGCAATAAATGTTCACCTCCCTTCCAACAACCCCTTTTTCTCAAGGCTGGACAGGCCTGCTCTGCTCAGAGAGTAATTCATTTTGGCTCCGAGCCCTCAGCAGACAGGTGGACGGGAGGGTGGGCACAGAGAGCATGTGGTTACGTGAAAGCAGGCCCCCTGGGGGGTGGCCAGAGGGAGAGGGGCCTGGGGGACAGGTACAGATCCCCTAGAGCCTCGGGTGGTCCCCAGTTGCAGGTTCTCTTCCAGAAACAGCAGGGAGGAGAGTGGCCAGGGGAGCACAGGAGTGAGCGCAGAGTACAGCCGGGACCGCAGCGGCTGCTCCAAGGAGCAGGGCAGCGCGGAGCTCTCTGGGTGCTTCCACCCGGCCCTAGTGCTCTGACGCACGGGCTGAAGAAGCCTGGGGTGCTGGACACGGATCCCTGGGCGATGCCAGGCCCAAGGGGGGGCACCCACATGACCAAAATCACAACCACTTTAGACAGGATGAGGTGGAAGGGACGTCACACTCCAACATTTCAGTCATGTCTGTACTACAAATTTTCAAGGTAGGGGGGCAAAAACTGGGCACAGATATAAAACAAAGGTAAAAAACAAAGTTAATTTTAAAATGTCTTAATGATCTCTCTTCATTGGGGCACAGAGAAGGCAAGACGCTTGGCCTCCACTTCCTGATAGAGCCGTGAAGGAAGTCCTCACCCCAAAGACCATCTGACCAGGTTCCCTAGGCCCAGGCCAAGCTGCTGGCCCATAAGGCCACACCACAGAGATAATCGGGTCTGAAGCCCCATTGCACGATGGGGAAAACAAGGTGGCCCAGGGTGGGGCAACTTGTACAAAGTCATAGGCAGCTCACAAGCACATTCTGTAGCCTCTTCCTCCCTTCTCTCTCCTTCAGTACCTGGGGGAAGAGCCCAGGGACCCTGGCTGAAAGAGGAGGACCTGGGAGGGCACACAGCACACACCTCAGGGCCCCTGACACAGGGTGCTCACCATACAAGAGATGAAGGGCGCCTGGTCCGCCTCTGAGCATCCTGAATGCTGGGCCCAGGCAGCAGCCCCCTTTTCAGGGAGGCAGTGGGACAGTGACAAAGAGCCTGTCACCCCTGTGCAATCCCAATTCTGCCTCTTCCTAGCCGTGTGCCCTGGGGCAAGTCACACCCTCCTGTGAGCCCCCGATTCCCCCACTGCAGGGTCAGGTCAACATGCCTATCTGGCAGGGCCCTAGAGGGGGCTCAGTAACCATAGTCAGGCCCCTCCCTCTGGCAATGGACTTGGTGATAGGGAGTCAACTCGGCTTGGTCTCCCCTTGAGCCGGCAAAGGCTCCAATAAGGGAGGAGCCACCAATGGAGGGGGTCAGGGCCCCGGAAAAGGCACTTTTAAATGCATACCCCTCAGCCTTTGGTGAGGACCTGGGCACCCAAGAGCCCCTCATGTGGCTCCTCCCTCAGGGAGCTCTGGGTAGCAAAGCAGGTCCGTGTCTGGTGCCTGGGCCTGGGCAGTTCATGGAGACTGCTCAGCTTCAGGTCAGGGCAGGCCGGCTGGGGTCTTTGCTCCCAGAGGGCACAGGAGGAGGGGACCCATGGAGCCTGTACCTGCTGCTTGGGGCTGAGCTCAGCCGCTTGGCTCTCTTCTCCAGCCAGTCCTCCAGATGGCCCTCAGGGATCTCAGCAATGTCTAGTGGCCACTCCCTGGCCCGCCTCTCCTCTGTGGGGATAGGGAGACAGAGACCAGTGAGGGGCACGCTCACTCCTGCCTGAACCCCACCCGCCCACAAGGCAGCAGCAACCTTCCTGAGGGGTGCAGGCAGGGAGACTGGGAGCAGAGCCTCAGGCCTGACCCCATCATGCTGCCACCTCCCCAGGCCCGCCCCTCTGGACCTCACTCTGCTTCCCCATTAAGTGGAGACAAAAGAGTGGCTGACTCCCAAGCTTTCTGGAGCCGGACACAGGATAATGCACATAGAGAGCCTGGCCCTCGGGAAAGGTCCAAATCTGGGGTACAGGGAGGCCGCGTGGGCTGCAGAACGAGGCAGAGCAGGGTTTGAATCTTGGCTCTGCCACTTGCCAGTTCTCTGATCCTAGAGAAGGAGCCTCAGCTTTCCTGATTTTTCTTTTCCTAAAATGTCCTACAAAAACCTTTGCTGATTGAATTAAAACTGAGCAATGGATGGAGTTCAAACAAGCCACATGTGAGAGTGTGATGGGGTCAGAGTCTCTGGAGGGCCTGGGGCCAGAGGAAAACAATCCAACTCATGGAGCAACGCATACTCCGGGCCAGGCCCTGGGCTAGCATTACACACGTGTCATCTCACTTCATTTCACGAGCGGTCACGTTTGACAGGTCAGGGTGCTCCTCCAAGAGGCTGAGCCATGTGCTAAGGTCACAGGGGCTGTGGCTGAGCCAGGACTGTAGGAGCTGCCAGCTGGGGGCGCGCCTCTGCTCCCAGCCCCCTCGGGCCTCTCCCATCCCTGCCTCACCAGGTGTCTCTAGCTCCCACTGGCCTGTGCTCTCCCCACCACCGGCCAACCGTCCCCTAGAGCCCACGGCCAAGGAAGAGGGAGAGATATGGCCACTGCCAGGACTCGCTGGATAGGCCCATGGGCCTTGCTTCCGCCCTGGGAAAGCTCCTGGAAACCCTGTGTTTGTGCCATGGCTGCGGCCACACGGCCATCAGCATCCTGGGGCAGGGCATTGCCTGCAGGGTCTCACTGGCCAGAGGGGAGTGAGGCCCAGGGGGGACGAGGGCAAAGGCCAGGCTGCCCCAGACACCTGCTGGCTGGCCCAACGCTACCCGGATGAGGGAAGAGTGAGTGGCAGCACCCTGGGAGACCGGAGTTGGCCTCTAACTTGCTGGGGGCTCCGATGAGGCCCTTCTGCCTGAGTGCTGGCCTCAGTTTCTCCAACTGTTCAATGAGGGGCTACATGCGAAGATCGATAAAGACTAAGTGGGAACTTCCTCATTCTCTAATTGGAGAAGTGAGAAGTGTATTTCCCAACGGCAGACATGCTAGTTTCCAGGGGAAGCTGAACTTGCTCCTCCCTGGAATCACCAGGCCTGAGAATCCTGAGGGCAGCTAAGGCGATCTCTGCATCCCCGCGTCCCCAGAGCATAGCAGGGGATCCGCCAGGAGCTGAGTAGGGGCTCCATGTTGTTGCCTGACTGAGGGAAGGAGGGCCCGCAGGCATATATGAATGAATGCCAGGCTAGCAGCAGGGCCCTGGGGTGGGGTGCACCCTTAGGGCTCCTGGGCAGGAAGTCCTGCATGTCACTTTAAACCCAGCAGGGGACATGGCCAGGAGCTTGCTCTGGCACTCATGCCTGGGGTGGTTAGGAAGCAGTTCCTGACACCCGCCCTATCACCTCAGGCAGTCCTCAGCCTACCCCACACAGCAGCCACAAAACGGGGAGGTGGGGAGGCACAGGGCAGCTTCCCCAGCCCCAGATCCTGCACCCTCCAGCAGCCCGCACCCGCCCCCACCCAGGGTCTCCACGGAAACACACCCTCCACCTGGATGCTCAGCTCCTGCAGGTCTCGCTCCGACATGTGGGAAAATCTGCAGTTGGAGCCAAAGTCACACTGGCCTGCAACAAGAAAAGAGTTACTTGCTGCTCCCAAGGACCCCCACCGTATGTTGAGGGGCACCCTGATGAGGGGTGGTTGGAGTTTTAGGGGCAGGGCTGTAGGCCTAAAGAGTAGCCACCCCACCTCTAAAGAAAAACTAGGACTCTCTCTGGCCCTGCCCACAGGAGCAGCCAGAACCACCTGTCTGGTCCATGCTCACGACCCTTCCCTGGCTAGGGATCAAACCCCACTGACGTCTTTCGTGATTGGGTTGCACAAGCCTCTGCAGGTTTGTCTCTTGTTACCAACCCCTGGCCCCCAGCCCCTGTTCCCCAGCCTCAGTGAACCACGGGTGGGTCCCTGAAAGGGTCATGCTTCCTCTCTCCACTCCAGGCCATTGCACATGCTATGCCCTCCGCCAGGTGCCCTGCCCACCCCTCTGGCTTGCATGAGCAGCTGGACTGCTCTCCAGAAAGGCTTTTAATGGCAGCTTTGTCAAGGAGGTACCCAAGTCTTTCCAAATCCCAACCGAGGAGACCAAAATGCACCACAAAATAACAGGAGACTGGAGGTGTCCTAAGCCAGCAAAACGTACCAGTGGCCTGTTCACATCAAGGTGAAGTCTGTGGGGAAGCCCATGATCTGCAGGCCTGGTGCCCATTCTAGAGGCAGCTCTGTCTCCTGAGGGGAGCATGGCTGTTCACCCAGCTTCCGTAGGTCAATAGCAGTACCTCTCCCCAGTGTTAAGCTCCCTTACACACCATGTTAATCATCCTGGTTTTCCTCTTTGCCTTGGCTGCTAGGAAGCTCAGGGCCAAACCCTTAGAGAACATACAAGACCTCAAGGCAAGTATAGAGGATACTAATCATTCTACTGGCTTTGTCTCATTTTTCCTATCCTTATTTTCATTTATCTTTGGTTCCTTCACTTACTGAGGTTTTTCTCTCTTAGAACTGTATGCATCTTTATTAGCTGGGTATTGAGCAGTCAAATCAACACCTAGCATCTTTGTTTCTAATTCTGAGCCTCCTCAGCATTGTCAGAGCTATTATGGTCTCCAGCCCTGCCTGCTGGGAGGCAGGGCACAGCGGAGGTCAGGCTCCCAGGCTAACTCAAGCAGCCAGTCTATTACACCCAACAGTGACTCCCGGATTTACCTGCAATCTCCCAGCACTTGCTTGTTCTGGGTGAGCCAATAAAATCACATTCCAGGTCTGAAGAGCTTAGGACCAGGCCCTGGAAGTCCTAAGCCACAATCCCTGGGAAGGCCCCGATGGACCAGTCAGCTGATGCACCAAGGCCATAAAGGGGGCTTAGGATGGTGGCTGGGGCTGGGGGAGAGGCTCTGCAGAGGCCCACGCAGGCCAGACTGGGCATGCTGGTCCCTGGGGGTACTGGAGCTGAGCAGAGCCCTTTACCTGTCAGTAGAAACTTCCTGCAGGGCCGCTTGTTCTGCTCATCCAGCAAGATGGCAGCTGCATCTGCGAGGTGAGAGGGGCTGGGTTCAGACTTCAGCTGCACACAGGCACTTCTGATCACCAAGGTCAGTTGTGAGGAAAGGAAAGAGTTTCCCATCCATGGAGGAGTGTAAGCAGGGGACAACCACAGGTGGGGATGCTGGGCGGAGGGATCCCAGCTTCAGGTGACCTCAACCCTGCCACCTGACCCAGACCCAGACCCAGCCAAGGGCAAGACCAGGTTTTAGGTCAGAGGCTTTTGACTTTGCACAATGGAATCACCTTGCAAGTTAAAAAAAATTCCTGGTACCATGAGACCTCTCTGTGCTGTCTTTGCAACGTCTTGTAAACCTACAATTATTTCAAAATAAAAAGCTAAAAAGCCCACCAGTAAACCCGAGGGCCCAGGCATGGCTCCACAGCCAAGGCCGCAATCCACAGCCCTCCGTTCCCCTCCTTACACCAGCTCCAGGCTCTCAGAGCCAGACCAGCCGCCAGCCTCAACAAGACGTCGCGACACTCATTCTGGATACGATCCTTAACCCTGGTTTCCTCTGATTTTTCCTACTTTTATTTTCACCATATATTTACGGTTTACATTTTGTATGCTTCTTGGTAGGCAAAAAATCAATCAGTTAAAATCTGTAAGTGAGTAAGACGTGTGAGGAAGGTGCCCTGACTTAGCCCTTGAAGTTGCCCTGGAGGAGAGGCGAGGCCAGGCCTGGGCTGAGCACCTTCCCATTTTGTTCCTCCAACACTTTTCCTAGAGGCCGCTGCGGTAAAGGACAGACCGTGGACTTCTGAGTCCAGGTACACATGACTATAGGCAAGCTGCTTAATCTCTCCGAGTCTCAGTTTCCCCATATGTAAAATGGGAGGAAAACTCTCACCTGGTAGGGCTGCTGTGAAAATTTCATAAGATAACGGATGGAGAGCACTTGGCAGAGGGGGCTGGTGGTTCCTCCTCTGGCCAGTGGCACGTGAGAATCGCTGGGAAGGTGGGATTGGGAGCGGCCTTGGCATCATGTTCCCCACGTGAGGCTAACGTGCAGCCAGGACTGAGAACCTCGGTAGTGGATGCTCAACAAATGGGAGTGGTTCTTATTTCATTTCCTCCTCACAAACCCACTGACAATGCCAACATCCCCATTTTGCAGAGGGGAAAACTGAGGTTCAGACAGGGGAAGTGATCTGCCCAAGGGCACACAGTAAGAAGCAGCTCTGCCAGGTTTGAAGCCTGGAGTGTGAATCTAAAGCCTCTGCCCTTTCCCCTGTGGTTGCTGATCTCCTGGTGGCTGGGTGAGTAGCCAACTCTGATGGGGGCTCCTCCCCTCCCCAGGGCAGGGCAGCTGGGGGCTGGGGTGGGGTGGGCTGCTTGGGTCAGGAGTTGGTTACCAGAGGACTCACTCCAGGGGTGACCAGGCGGAGCGGGGGTGGAGCCTCCAGGGTGGGGAGGGGGCCATCTGTCAGCACTGGGCTTGTCAGACTCAGCCCACCCAGCTCCTGACACAGCCCTTCCCAGGGGTGGAGGGCTGGGGAGGGCATGTGGACATTGCCTAGGGTCCCCTTGGGGGTAGGACAGCTGAGGCTGGCAGGGGGCCTGAGCCCAAGTCCTAGACAAGGGGCCCTGGTGGGGACTCAGTGTGGGAGAGGAGTTCCAGGCTGCCCAGCATCCGGTGGGTGGTTCTCAACCCCAGCCACATGGCAGACTCACGGGGCAGCTTTTAAAATACATGGATGCCCGAGCCCACCCTTCTCAGCTTCTGCTTTAATTCATCTGAGGGAGAGAGCAGGGGAATTGCTAAAAGCTCCTCAGTGACTCTGAAGGGCACCCAGGGTTGAGAACCCCCGGCCCAGGCCCTGCACAAAGAAGCCCATGCTCCTCCGCCCAGAGTTCAAGGCTCCTCGTGATCTGACCCCATTGGTCCTTCTCGCTTCATCTCCCAAAATGAACAGCTGCCCCGGTGCCCTGTGTTTGTTTGCTCATTCATTTAGACGTTCATCTAACAAACATTTACTGAGCACGTCCTGGGTGCCAGGCACCACGCCAGGATGAGGATTTAGTGGAGAACAAGTCAGACCCAGTTCTTCCTTCCACTCCAACAGGCACACTAAGCCACGTGGATATAAACGTGTAAACAGCTAGTGTGCAGCCAAATGACCTGACCTGGCCCGGAGGTCGGGGAGGGCACTCCCGAGGACCTGCTGCCTGAGCTGAGTTCTGAGATGGGAGGACCAGGCCGGGGGCAGGGAGGACAGCAGGACGAGCATGCCCACCAAGGGGACAGTACTTGCAGTGGCCAGCATAGCCAGAGCTCAGAGGGAGAGGTTGGCAGGGCATGGAGGCCTGGGCAGGACAGGGGTTCCACCTGGAACACATTGTTGTAACTGGGCATGAGGCCGCTTAGGAGAGGGGCCCTGCTTTATTCCCCTGTGAGTCTTCAGAGCCTATCTGGGAGCCAAGGACATGCTCAGTGGCGCTGAGTGTTGTCTGAATGAATGAGCCCATGAGATGAAGGGCCTGAGGCCAATCCTTTTGTGGATCCGTAGGCACGTTCCTACTTAGTGAACCCTCACGTGCCATACAGTCATCATGAGAATACTGAGCCCGTCACCCCCACCTAGGAGGTGGGTACTGTTGTTATGGCTGTTTTACACACAACGAAATTAGGGTCACACTGTTAGTGAGTGACACCTTGGGACTGACACCCAGGCAGCCTAGCTCCAGGGCCTGTGCCGGTCCCAGCCATGGCAGATGGATGGTCAACCATTCCTAGGGCTAAGGGACTTGTCCAAGGCCATGAAGCTGGGAGCAGAGCGGGTGTCGAGTCCTAGCCCAGGCTGGGTACCACGTGCCTCCCCACAGCCTGCGCTGTGCGGCTACTCAGGTAAGCTGGAGCCTGGGGAAGCCTCTTGAGGAAGTGGCAAAAGCTTGTACGCCAGCTTGAGGACCCCTGGTGAGTAAGCCACCACTCTGGATTTCAAAGTCACCACCTGTAAGTGGGGACCCCCAGCCCACCCAGCCTCCCTCGCAGAGCTGTTTCAAGGACTGAATGTGGCTGGGGATGTGAGAGGATGCTAGGAATGCAGGATCCCCGGGAAGGGGCTCATGGCGCCCACTGTTTCATCTCTTCTGTAAGTAACACAACAGCCGCTGCCGATCAGCCCTGGACCCGAGGACTCCGCTGTTCTCAGCTGAGAACCTGGGACCAGGAGCAAACACCAAGCTGATCTTGAGGCCCAGCTCCATGCCAGATCACAGCACCCCACTGGATTGGGGGGATGGGAGCCTCTGCCTGACACCGGGGTCAGAGGCCTCCCAGGCACCTAGGAGACCCCTCTGCCCCTACTCCTGGCCCCTCACAACCACAGCCAGGCCTGGCCTGCTGGCCGCCCCCCCTCACCCAAGCCTCTGAGCCTGAGCTTCCTCATCTGAAATGGGGAGAGTCTAGGAGAGCTTTGACAATACCATGCCTGGGCCCCAAACCTGCCTCTGGGGATGGGGTCAGGGGACGAGCACTTTTTATTTCAAGGTCTCCAGGTGATCCTAACTCGAAGGGTTGAGATCCACTGCCTTAGAGAAATACTGAGAAAAGCGAATGACAAACCATGGAAGGCACCTGGCATGCAGCAGGCACTCAATAAAGCTCACTCCCTTCTTGTGAATTCTGAATCTCAGAGCAGGGAATGAACTCTGTCCCCTTCTCCTTCCTTCCCAGCTGCTGGGACTCCGTTCCTTCCTTCCGCTCTGGGCCCTGTCTCAGAGTCCTGCTCCCCAGCTTGTGGAGCGTTGGCCCCGCCCGGTTCATTCCAGGAGCTCCGGGCCCACCCCCGCCCCACACCAAGCTCCCTCTTAGCTCTGGCTCCTGGCTGGCCACCGCGGCAGGTCGCTATTCTTTAGCACACATGCCTAATGACAGCAGCAGCACCTTCCCTACAGTGAGTGCCTCCCGGGTGCCAGGCCCTGCGCTGGGGCTTACAGCCTTAGCTCACTCTCGGTCCAGCCGCACCTGCTCTGAGAAGCCTTTCCCAGAAGAGCCCTCCCTCGGGCAGCCCCGGTTATTCATTCATCCAGCCAGTCATTTCAACAGCCATTTACCGCACCCCACTGCTCACGCAGCAGTCAGTCATCACTGCCAAGTGTGGCTCTGGTCACACTGGCCGCTGCCTAAAGCCCTTCAATCACTGCCCTCTGCCCTCAGGTCAACCCACCCCCTTACTGTGATCCTCCTGCACCATCCGGCCCCTGCCCTATCGCCAGCTTCAGCCCCCACCATCCTCCTCCTCTCCCGCTGCGTCCAGCCACACCCTCTCTTCTGCTCCGAGGGCACCTGGGGCATTGCTCATGTGCCTGCTCTGGCATGGCCCCTGCCCAAAATGGTGTGGCTGGCTTTTCCCTACCTTTCAGCTTTGGCTCAAACATCACCTCCTCACAGAGGCCTTCTTCCTGGCCACAGTGTCCCCAGAGCAGGCAGGCGGAGCTCTGGGGCAAGATTGCCGGGGAAAGGAACTCACGTTCCAGCCTGCCCCTGCGAGGGCCCGTCTGCCCGTAGGGGCCGGTGGCCCAGGCCTCGTCTCTTTTGCTCCTCAAAATGCCCAGAGCAGGACTGCCACTGGCCCACGGTGTTTCATTGTCTGATGATAAGGAAAGTCAGAGAGCAGGGCTCCGTCAGCCTGGCTGCCACCCACCTCGGAACATGTCGTACCAGACCTTCTTGGCCTTGAGGTGCTGCAGCCCATTCAGGTGCTTCTTGCGGTTGTGGAGGTTGTCCTGGAAGGAGCGGTCGCAGTAGTCGCAGAAGTAACGCTTCCCCATGGCCACCTGCGCCAGGGGCTGCTGCTGCCTGGGAAGCCACACAGCACTCGGTCAGAGCACAGAGGAAACGCCTCACACCAAGGCCCAGGGCACGCCAGCCCACTGAGCACTCCAAGGGCCAGGCCTGCGCGGGGTAAGGAAGGCTCTGCACACATGCGCCACCTCATTTAAACCCCACGACAGCCCGTGAGGAACTATGCGGGCAATGATTATGGCCTGAGAGGCCTCATGCCAGACTGGGCTTTTAACAATTCTGGTGCCCAGCTTCTACCCCAGGCCAGAGAAAGCAGAACGTCAGTGGGTGAGACCCGGTATCAGTGGTTTTTAAAGCTCCCCAGGGAATTCTCATATGTAGCCAGGCTGGAGAACCACCACTTCACGCCCTCTGGCTGCCCCCAGCGCCCACCCAACTTCTGACCTCCTCTCTCCTGTTCTCTCCAATCCAGCCACACAGACCTCCTCTCTGTTCCTCACATACGCCAGGCACACGCCCATCTCACCTCCCAGCCTGTCCCTGCTGTTCCCTCTGCCTCGATGCTCTCCCCCATCCCTGACACGCTTGCGTACTCAGCTCCTTCAGTCTTTGCTCAAATACTTCTCAGTAATCTCCCATGACTGCTTCATTTAAAATTGCAGAACCCTCCACCCTCCACTTAGCTTTCCCCACTCCCTGCTTCACTTTTATCACTCTTGAAGTAATAAGTTACTTGTTCTGTTTATTATCTTTTCCCCTCAACAGGAATATAAATCCACGCGGGCTGGGATATTTTTGTTTCATTTATTGCTGAAGCCCCAACACTCAAAGTAATGTATGGTACAGAGTAGGCAACCAAATATTTGTTGAATAAATGAATTAATTCCTATTTTCCTTATGGGACAACTGAGGTTCAGAGAGAGGGAGTGATTTGCCCAAGGTCACACACACTGGTAAACAGAAGGCAAACTCAGGCCCCCTAAAACCCTACTGCCAGGTGCCCCTTCTTCCACAGCCAGCTCAATGCTTAGAGAAGCCAGCGGACTCAGGCAGAAATGCAAATGGCTTGCCAAGGAGATTAGCTAAACTCTAAGGTGGCAGGTCCCCAACCAATCACAGAGGGAAACAAGAATGTTTCAGGGTCTTAAGACCCTTAAGTCATAGTGATCACAGCTGTCACTCCTGACAGGAGTGCAGATCCAGGAGATCTGCAGCCCAAGGTAGGTGGCGATTCTGTGACTCTCATGGCCAGTCCTTGGTCCCCTAGTTTGGTGCACAAGACCAGAGGAGGAATGGGTCCACTTGAGGCCATCGAGTAGGATCTGCAAAGGCTGAGCCCAGACCAGCCCCTCACCCTTCAGGTCCTATGCTCTGACCCTTCACTTCACAGAGCAGGTTCCTGAGGCCCAGAGGACAAAGGGCAGTGACTTCCCCAAGGTCACGAGGTAGCAGCCCAGGCCATCAGCGAAAGCCCCAGACTCCCAGGATCTGGCAAAGGTAAAGCTGGCCTTCACTCACAGGGCAACAGGGCAGACAGATGGGAAATGCATCTTGGGAAGAAGAGACTGGGGAGAGGCGCAGAGACAAACAAGCCCCTGGACAGTGCAGGCAGCCACCGGGTCGATGGAGAAAGCCGCTCCTGCGGCAGACGGGGATGGCGGCCATTCAGTCAAGGGCTGTAATGGGAGCAGGAACAGACAGTCACTCAAAATGAAAACGTATAAAACCTCTCTTCTCTCATTACTGCTGAGAAACCGCATCCAGACACATGGACTTGATATATTAAATTTGGCAGCTCTAATACACCCCGTCTTGCCAATAAACTTATAGGAATTGGATTGAAACGGTAAGAGATGAACATGTAACGGCCGAGTGCTTAACCAAGCCATTCACGAAGCTTGAAGCTCTGAGAAGCTGCTGCATCTGGAAAGTAATGAAGAGGGGAGGGGCAGAGGGAGGGGTGTCCCTTGGGAAGACTGAGATGGAACAGTAGCTCTGCAGCACACTCAGCTGGACAAAACCACACAGGGCCCGAGCAGCTGGCTGTGTGACCTTGGGCAAGTCACTTTCCCCCTCTAGGTCTCTACCTTCACTGTAGGAACACGAGGCGGTGGGTCTGACAGGTTGCCTGATTGCTTGGGGAGTGGTACGCAGAAGTTTGCTAATCCAAATAAATTTTTTTTTTTTTGTGAGGAAGATCAGCCCTGAGCTAACATCCATGCTAATCATCCTCTTTTTGCTGAGGAAGACGGGCTCTGAGCTAACATCTATTGCCAATCCTCCTTTTTTTCCCCAAAGCCTCAGTAGCTAGTTGTATGTCATAGTTGCACATCCTTCTAGTTGCTGTATGTGGGACGCGGCCTCAGCATGGCCAGAGAAGCGGTGAGTCGGTACACGCCCGGGATCCGAACCCCGGGCCGCCAGTAGCGGAGTGTGCGCACTTAACCGCTAAACCACGGGGCCGGCCCCAAATAAATTATTAATAATAGAGTAATAGCAATACAAACGACACTAATAACATCCAGCATTGAGCAAGCACTTAACAAATGTTACCTATTATCTGATTTATTAAGCACCTATCATGTGGTGGCACTGGGCTAAAAGCTTTATACGCATCATCTCATTTAATTCTCAGGACAACCTGTGAGGTGGGGCCCAGTACACCTTTTCAGATGAGGGCACTGAGGCTCCGATAAGTGAAGTGACTTAGCCAAGGTCAGGCTGCTAGAGAGCAGCCAAGCCAGGCTTCGAATCCAGGCAAGATGGCTCTAGAACCCACACTCCCAATAACTCGTGAAAGTCTCCTGCCAACAAATCATACTGACATGGCTCCTTCGAACCTGAGAAATATGTATTATAATCCCATTTATGAACGAGGAAACCAAGGCTCACAGAGGTGCTGTGAGGTCCCCAGGTCACACATCCAGGAAGGGCAGAGCAGGTCTCAGGGCACCTCCCACCAGCCCACCAGGAAATCAAGAACACTCGCCTCTCCTCCCGCCTGCTCAGCAACACCCTGACCCAAATGACAAGCCCCTCGGGGCTGGGATGCGCACGTGCGCGTGTGTGTGCATGTGTGTGTGTGTGTCTGTTTTCCTCTCTGTGGCGTGCACACACACACTGTGGGGGCAAACCAGCCTCAGCTGAGGGCCACAGCAGCCATACTACCCACCATACCTTCCTCTGCCCACCCTGGCCACCCCCCCGTCTGGCACAGGGGAAGTGCTCAGCCATCCGGGATGGGTCAATGGACCCCACGTTCTAGTCCCAGCTCTCCCAGGTGAGGCTGTGGCTCCGTCACTTGCCCTCTCTGGGCCTCAGTTTCCCCCTGTGTGAAGTGGGCAGCAGGTAGCTAGACCAGGTGATCTCTAAGGGCCCCTCCAGACCATCCAGTGCTAAATCCAGGTGCCACTGCTTTCTAACTCTGTGATCTTGGGCAAATAACTTCTGGCCTCAGTTTCCTCCCGTGAGAACTGGGATAATAACAGTGCCCATGTCAGGGTTGCTGTGAGACTCAGATCATCCACACACACACTTAGCACAGAGCCTGGCCCACAGGAGGCCCTCAGGAAACGCTGGCCGTCATCACCATCATTATTTTTTTTTTTTAAAGATTTTATTTATTTTATTTTTCCCCCCAAAGCCCCAGTGGATAGTTGTATGTCGTAGCTGCACATCCTTCTAGTTGCTGTATGCGGGACTCGGCCTCAGGATGAACGGAGAAGTGGTGCCTCGATGCGCACCCGGGATCCGAACCCGGGCCACCAGCATCGCAGCGCGCGCACTTAACCACCAAGCCACAGGGCCGGCCATCACCATCATTATTATTGGCCTTTGAAGAGCCTGTATTTCAGAAAACACAGGCTCAGAATAAGGAAGAGGATGCCGGTGCCCAAGTGACCTCTGGGGTCAGCTGGTCTGTATTAGAGATGAGGAAAGTGAGGCCAGGAGAGGGGAAGTGAGCTGCCCGAAGTACACGGCACAAGGCAGAGGTGGGGCCGGAACCTCAGCCCTCACGGCAGGGCCCAGACCCCTGCCCTGCAGAGCCCCCACTGCCCGGGGATGGTGTCAGGGCAGCAGACCAGCTCCAGGGGAGCCGGCGCTTCCCTCCTCCTTCACAGGCCTGTCCCCATGGAGGCAGAGGCCCTGTTCCCGGGCAGGAGCAGACCTTCAGCAAGGTGACCTCACCCAGGCGTCACCCAGGTGTGAACTTCTAGGGCTCCTGACCCAACTGCCTCCCGCTCCAGCGCCTTAGCGCATGTTAGGAAAAGGAGCGGCTGCAGAATCCTCTGGACAAATACAGCAGGCGAGCCAGACACACAACTTGGCAAGCGGAGCATATTCCACTCCGACTCACCCTCAGCCAGGCGTCCTTGCACAAGGGACACCCTGCACCACTGCACTTGGCAGCCCTGAGTGGGAGGTCAGGGAAGGGGGGTGGGGACAGCCAGACGTCTCTGACACCAGCATGGCGTGCTGACTAAGCCGGCCCTCTCTGCCGTGATTCATCCTCATCCTCTGAGGCTGGCGTGCTCGGCAGCGTGAGCGAGGCCCTGTCCGAAACACAGAATGATCAGGCCCCACTCCCTCCCTGGGAACACAGGTGGTGCCACCCACTTACTCCCAGGGACCAGGTCCACGCAGCCAACAGCATCTGCTGTCTCCCTGGAGCTTAGCCAGGTGACAGGGCGGCTCCTTGTGGCCAAGGGGCAGCAGGCAAGGCTAGTGGGACAGCCCTCTGCGGCCACACGGGTATGGGTTCGAATCCCAGCTCTGCCACTTACCAGCTGGGTGACCTCTGGAAACTTATTTCATGTCCCTGAGTCTGTACTTTGCTATGAAACAGCGACCCCCACCTCTGCTGTGGATTTACCACGGTAGTAGTATATAAAGATGCCTAGCGTATAGTTAGTGCTCAAAGAATGGAGGCTGTTACTGTTGTTACCATATCATCCAGGCTGCTCACTCCCTCACCCACCCGGCGAGCACACCTTGACCACCTGATTTAAAATGGCAGCCAAACTCGTAGCCGCAGACACTTCCACCTCCCTTAC